AGTCTTCGCTTTGTGGCGAAGGTTGTCGAGAGTGTGGTTGCGCGACAGCTCCCACAGTACCTGGATGAAGCTGTCTATCTGGATCCGTTCCAGTGCTGGATACAGCACGGAAACGGCATTGGTCACGTTGGTTGATGATCTCTGGAGGGCTCGGGACAAAGTCAGCTTATTGCCCCCACAATCCGGGTCCTCATTTTACCTACCTTAGAAAGGATGGAAGGCTGAGTCAACCTTGAGCCTGGTGAGATTTGAACTTGCAGTAATTGCAGGCAGCTGATGTTAATAACAGTGCTTTAGTCTGCTGCGCCACCAGGGCTCTTGGAATATAGGAATAAGTTCCTATATTAACATAGGTAAATGCCTGGATTTCAATTTATCAGCACATTTGTCAGTACCACCATGCCATTAACACTATGGTTGTACTTATGTTACAGTCCTTCATGTGCTTTAGAAAGGTTTATGTTTAATTTGACCATTCTCATAAATTAAACAAAGACCAATAATTGTTACTAAACTAGGCATGTGCACATATATGTATGCCACACTTCATTGGGTTTTGTTCTATAATTCTCATTAACTCTCACATCTCTTTTTACAATTCCCTTCACACATTTGCTTTATTCTTTCATATTAACAACTATGATTCTGAATGTGTCTATATGAATGAAGACTATACAACTAATGAGTGAATGGTGATTGACAAATATTTATATGCTAATTAAGTGGTAAGATTTTTTTTAGATGCTAGAAAGTTCAGTTTAACATTTTCTAGAGATGCTAGAAAACTCTAGATATACTGGATCTAGAAAATTAATTAAATTTATAATTAAAAGTAATTAACCATTCTTAATTAATAATTAGCCCATTCTTCTCTAATTATCTCACAGTCTCTTTTCCATTTTTGTATTTACTGGTAGAATTGTTGAATAGCATAGTTTCTTTTCTTTCTTTTGAAACTGAATTCAGGATCTAATTCTTTGACCAAAAACTGCTCATCTGTGACTTCAGTCCTAAATTTCATAAATCTGAAAATATTAGTCACAATTCTTCAAACTGTGCTTTGGAGCAGAGGAGAGGCCCTTGGCCTTTAAAATCTATATGAAGTTATTGGGTGAGTCAGTTATGGTTCAGATATCTTTAGCATGCTAATTACCCCAGGTTTACATCTCCACTGTTGATCATAAAGTGATGCTGGCAATGCTGTAACCTGGGGCTTAGGGCTATAGGGGTTGGAATGGGAAAGAACAGACTGACACTGAACTTAAGTAAAATGGAATTCTATTTATACATTTGTGCTCTCTGTCAAAAGAAGGGCTATTTCTGGATGGATAGAGACTAGCTGTAAGGGAGCAGGATCACAATTTGTTCTAGAGGCACCTTTGCCCAGTTTTGACTGTCTAAGCCAGTGACGGAACAAAAATCATGACTTTGAATGTTTCCATTTTAAAGGTATATTTGAGATTATAATAATATAAAATAAGGGTATTTGTATTGTAATGTTTAATGTTAATTTATTAATGTACCTATCATCTTGCTGTCACAATTCTGAAATCAGATTTGCTGCAGCTATATTTTTGAACTTTTTAAGTTGTCTCCACATAGACGTTGTTTGCAAGAACAGCAAAACCAGGACTATTCAGAAAGTTATGTTTTACCTGAGGAAAAAAAGAAGCTACTTACACTCATAGACTTCAACTTAGATAAAAATCACTAACAATAATTTTTCTCTTCATTAAAAAAAAATAAAATCCACTACAATCAATTCTAGTATTCTTCACCAACCAGTAATAAATTATATCATCACTGCCTGCCCAGCCACTGTTATTCTTCACAATTTCTATTAGTGATTTTATTGTTTTATGGTTCTGTTTTATATGATGCATTTGGATAGTATAGACTTACTGAATTATTCAAGAGCTGAACTGATCTGCATTTCAAAGGTACTAAGTAAAACAAAACATAAGAAATTACTTACTACAGGCAGCAGGAAATCAAAACTTTATTACAGAGAGAATATTCTCATTAATATGAAATATTGATTCCTAAGGCTGGCAAAACAATGGCTTACACTCTAAAAAGGACTGATGTAAGGAAGTGTATGGAAGAATATGAAAAATATAAAGATTTATTTATTAAACAAAGAGATAAAAATCTATTTTAAAAAAATCCTTTCAGTACCAATTTCTACTTGCATCCTTCTTTAGGTATTTTCAACTTGACCAAGGAGAGACTAAGAAGAAAAGGAAAAAGGAAATTTTTTTCCCTATGTTTATGCACGAAAGGATACAATGCAATGCCATTTGTAGGATATGGTGGCCTAATTTAAATATCTGAGACAAATTGACTTGAGTCGTTTCACAATTCAAAATAAAAGAAAACAAAAATGTACAGTATCTCCAAGCTGTAACTATTTTATTTTTCTGCAAAATGAGCAAAATTATAGAAATTGTATACAGTATTATAATACAATACGGTAAGATATATACAATATATATTATATTTGTGGTTACATATCTTCAGTCAAAAGAACTGTTGTTAGTTTCTTTTGTTTGATCAGTAGAAAAAAACCAATAAATAATTTCTTCAACCTCTTTTAAGTCAAGAAATAGCAGAATTGCAGATAGGACAGTGTTGTGATGCTAAATTGTTCAATGACAGTTCAGTTTTCTGGGATGCCAGGGGGGCTGACCCAGCTAATCAAACAATTTGGCCACTCCTAAAAGGACTTCCCTTATTACTGACCACACTTAGTTGTGTCAGGGTTCTGGCTTGTTGGCGGTACTCAGTTAATTATTTAGCAGAAGCCACAGAAACCAAAAACAAGAAGTGTGATACAGTGCTACAAAGCAGGTCATAGAAAAAGAGGCTGGCATGGAAAAATTGCATTCATACTTTTGCTGTCCCCAGTCTTTAGAACAGTAAATGTTTGGGTTAGGACCAGTATTAGGCTGGCACCTATTCACATATTACTGAGAGACTTGAACTTTGTGTAATAATACAGAATTTGAAAGTAAGATTTGATGCAAGAGCATCCATATTGAGAAAAAAGGAGAAGAACTTCTGGGAGCAAAGTGGCTGGCCACATAAAAAACATTGTGAATTTAGACACCGAAAGAATCCCCAATTGGTGTCAGCCTTATTGATCCTCAAAAGATCTCTACAAGGCAGAGAGATTAATGAAGTGGTGAAACCAACTGGTAGCTCCCCATAGTAATGTCAGAAAGGCCATCAAACCAGGGGTGCTATTTAGCAGGTTCTGACAGTTTCTGGAGAACTGGTAGAGGAAATTTTGAGTAATTCGGAGAACCGGCAAATACCACCTCTGGCTGTCCCCAGAGTGGGGTGGGAATGGAGATTTTGCAATATCCTTCCCCCAGGAATGGAGAGGGAATGGGGATTTTGCAGTATCCTTCCTCTGGAGTGGGGTGGGAATGGAGATTTTGCAGTATCCTTCCCCTGCCACGCCCACCAAGCTACACCCATAGAACCGGTAGTAAAAGAAAATTGAATTCCACCACTGCATCAAACCATTCAATTTACCACCCATATCATGCTTAGAGAAGGGAAAATATACTATTGGGTATTGTAAGAAGATGTGAAGCCCTTTGAACTTGGTCTCCTGTTTGCAAAACTTGACTGAAACCTCCTTGGATTTTGCACAATCCTAATGAAAATTGAAATACAATAGATATATGTAGTTATCATGTTTTAAGAAAAGGTTTTTCAGGATATTTGTCTGAAAAATAATGCAGTGGAATATTTAATATAGGATAAATACTTTAGAAGACTAGACTGTTTCAAAGTTACATATACGGTAACTTTTAAAGTGTATCCATACAAAATAAAAATCAGTTTTGAACTTTTTAAAAAAATAAAGGAGCAATAAAAACTGGAATTACTATTAACATTTTTACATTAAAATATAGATAAGGCAGCCTTGTCAGCCTATTGTCATAAATATTTGGCTAGAAAGTCTTGAATTCTTTTATTAAACTGAAATTCTTGTTATTTTTGCCCAATTCCATTTGTAATTATTATTATTTGCCAACAGGTGTGTGTGTAAGTAGAACTGTTTTTATATATATACAAAAGCTACATTTCATGAATCTTATTAATATGATAATACATATAAACATAAATACATTCCTTCAAATCTTTTTTTTTTTTTAATTTGATTTATATGCCACCCTTCTCTGGAGACTCAGGGCAGCTTACAATGTGCTCAGCAATAGCCTTCATCCTTTTGTATATTTATACAAAGTCAGCTTATTGCCCCCACAACTGGGTCCTCAATTTACCTACCTTAGAAAGGATGGAAGGCTGAGTCAACCTTGAGCCTTGGCGAGATTCGAACCTGCAGTAATTGCAGGCAGCTGGTCTTAATAACCAGCTTAATAACAGGGTGCCTTAGACCACTGTACTACCAAGGCTCTTTTTTAAAATATTTTCCTTTTTTAAAAAAAGGCTTTTGCTAGTCTTGCATTTTGAAAGAGGGACAACAATTTGACAGTGTATTTGCATGGTATTAATATACTGTTCAGTCTAATTTAAATGAGCAATCAGGTATGTTTTAGCAATGAGTCTATCATAAGATGCATCATTGAATGAGAGAGATAATTCATGTTAATAGAGAAAAAAAATGTAAAATAGCATGTAATGATAGTACCTTAGCAAAAAAAGAAGAAGAAAAGGAAAGGAAAAAAGAACTATAGATAAAAATAAAGATTGTGTAACTCCATAACGTGATTATCTGCTATGTATTGTTTCAACAGTAGGTCTGGTTATTAGAAGTGAATTTTGTCACTTTACATATTCTTTCATATTACTTGCTATAATTTACTCCCTTTTGGATGTATTATACATTTGCTCACCAAGATTAGTGTTGACTTTGTCTCTGCCTGTTTTTCTCTTTTCACCCTCTCACTGACCCCTCCCGCCACCACTCCGTTTCTAATAAGTAATTCATTTGCACCATTCTAATACAAGATACAAATAAATACCTGTATACAAGGTCTCCACTGAATTCCCAGTCTCAAGGCAACATTTACATTTAATAATCTTGAGTCAGAAGATTAATGTTCTTTCCCTTGTCTTGACCAAGGACCTCTTCACATAATTGTGGCTTTCCTCTGCAAATCTTTAAGGCAAAGTAGAATCAACATTTAAAATACTGACAACAAAATTAAATAATGTGGGGGGAAACAAGGGAACTCCACCCATCTTTAGAAAAAACATTTCACATTTTCAAAAGCCTTTCAGCCAAGAGACAGTTTCAAAGACCATTTTTTTCTAGCCATTAGATTACAATTTAATCAACAGAATTTTGAGTCTGCTTCGATAGGTTGCACCAGGATGTAAAAAACTTCCTTCATCTTTGTTCACTTCTTTCTCAAATCGTGCAAAGAAGTTTCATAGGTTGCATGAAGTATAAAGTGGTGCCTTGGCACTCAACTGCTTTGAAACTCATTGGATTTGGTGCTCAGCACATTTTGATGTGAAAATTTTGTTGTGGGACTCACAGTTTGTTGGTGACTTTGTTGGTGTCTGCTCTATGACTCAATACATTATTCCTTATGGGGAAAATATGTTTGGTACTTATAACTTTTGGTATTCAATGCACCTCCTGGAACTAATTAACAACAAGTACTGAGGTAGCACTGAGGCAGTAATTTTGACTGTCGTAAGGAAGAGTCTTTACAAGATGAGAGGCTTAGCTTTGGATTTTTGTCCTGAACTACATGTGAACTGAAGAATAAACTTTATTGTACAAGCCTGTATTAATGCAAAACTTTTCATAATGTTATTCACGTTATAATATAATACAAATATAAATCTGTAAATGTACAATAAACTTTCTTCATCACATTCATTCTCAGTGACTTTCTTGAAAGAGCAAAATTTCTGTCTGAATATCACCTGCTCAAGATAAAAGCAAATTGTTCTTCTCAAATTCTCATTATTGCCATATTTCCCCTTTCAGAAGGAATTCTGTGAAACAACCTTCCCGTCTAAAATATTGTAACTTTTTAATCAACTCCTGCTGAATTCCCTTTCTATGCAGGACTCATAATGGCGTACTTCCAATCACCCTGTGTAGATGCAGATTATAGCAGTTCTATTCTTTGATATATCCCTAACTTTTCTAAAAAAATCTCCTTCCATTTTTCCTCTCCTTTAGTTTCCTTCTGACACATTACCAATTTTTTTTTAGTTTCAGTCATTGCACTGGAGGTTTCTGTTTGCTGTGGTGTTATATATTATTTAAATAATACTTTTTGTGCATTTTCTGTCAGCATTTTATAATGTTAACACTTGCTGTTGTTGACTACATACTTTGAATTGTCATTATTTTTGAATAATTGATTTATGTGCATTTTTTCACTCATAGCCTCTTTCATTTTATCATTCTACAAAGCATATTTTCATATTTCTGCACCTTTTCAGAAATGTTAATTTTAGCCAATCTTGCCCCTGCTTCTTGAATTATTACCAATCAAGTATATGTAATTATCACTAACCACTGACTCCCTATTTTCATAAACTTCTACAACAGTCTACATCAAATCAATGTATAATCTGACATAGCTTTTAGGCCTTTATTCTTAGTAAACTAAACCTTTGCTTCCTCACGTTCATTCATCACCTCTATTCCACAAAATCAGACTGACTTATTCACATCTATTGCATTCTTCCCCTTTCTCTTAAATTTATAAGATGTGGGTGCATGACTTTATGTTTGTGTCCGTGGGTATTTGTGTTTGTGCAATCATTAAGTTGTGCTCTTTAACTATTTGTTTTTATATTCCACATTTGAATCTTCTATAAGCCATGGTCATCATCATGCAATCAGTACTTTCACTTAGTTTTTTAATAATATAAAGGCAGCATAGACAATGTTTGTAACTGAAATCACATTCATATAGAGTTTATTTGCTGCTTAACAATATCAAATAGTTTGGACATAGTGCATCACCTAGGAAATGTTTGGTACATTGTTGCTGTTTAAATATTATTGCTTTTTGTATTAGTGAAAAATGGTTTGACAATTAAATAAACATTTGCCTTAAATGTATTACTAATTATTAAATCATCACTAATTATTATCCTAGCTTGTTTAAAACCTCAAATTGCTCTGTTTATCTCAGGAGAGTCAAATAATAATGACACATTAAAGATGATCTCACATGTGACAAAGAATCATAACACCGTAGTGTGGTATTTGTCACATGAAGGGTGTACTTGCAAGGAATTATTAAGAGCTTGATAGGTTTAATTTAAAATAGCGAAGCTATCCAAATATGTCCTAACATATCTTTATCAAACACATAGTGAGTGGCTTTGGATTGAAAGTAGCTGATAATTCTTTTTCCAAGTCTTGTTATACTGTATGTTGATGTTATATATGCTGATGGCAGCAAGACCACTCTATGCAGAGAAATGGAAGGTCACCTTGATCCCCACAATGGATGAATGGCTGCAAAAACAGATGGAGTTAGCAGAGATGGCTAAATTGACTGTTTTGATTAAAGAAAAAAAACACAAATACCTTTATTTCTATTTGGAAACCACTTCTGGACTTTGTACTTGAGGTGGAAAAAAAATAAAACTTTGATTTTTTGATTTTGGGTTTTACTGATTAGATAGATTGGTTGTTATAGAAATGGCTAGTTTCTATTATTATGAAAAATTTTAAAGTTGTGGGTAGATGTTAATGCATCATTTTACTGCACCAAAGGAGTCGGAAGTCAATGCCTTTTCTTTTTCTTTTTCCCTTGCTTTCCCCCACTATCTATTTCCCTTTATTTTTCTCTAATTTTGCTCTTAATTATTGAAGTATTATTTTTTTTAATTTTTTATTGAAAATTATTAAAATTTACAGAAAAAAATATAGCAATATGGATAGCATTGCAGAGAGTGATATAATACCTATAGCGTTTTAAAGCATCAATTTTCACCTAGAGATAGTACAAACCTTCATTAAACCAAATCATCAAAAAAAGAAAAGATTATCCAGAAGAAAGAATTCTCAACTGCCATGCAATGCTCCTATAAATATTTACCCACATTCACACTAAGATTAATATTTTACATTCTTCTTAAGATTTCTTTTTTTGCAGCCAAGCATACCACCTGTCCCAACTCCTATATAACCCCGATTCTTGTCTATCTCGCAAAAGTCCGGTAAGCTTGTCTGCTTCTGCACAGTCCATGATCTTTGCGGTTAACGTAGCCTCCAATAGAATATTTTTGGATTTCCATTCTTGCGCAAACGAGATCTTGGCTGCAATGATGATGTGGAGAGCGAGATACCAATTAGATCTGTTTAAGTTCTCTGGTTTCATACCTAGTAAAAACATTTCCGGGTTCAATTCTATCCTACATCCTATGATTTCTAAAATCCATTTTTGAATTCTAGCCCAATATTCTTTTGCTCGGGGACAGGTCCACCTGCTATGAAAATAAGTTCCCATACCGGCATTGCATTTCCAACAAACCGGAGAGGTTCCCGGGAACATCTTCAATAATCTAGCCGGAGGCAGGTGCCATCTATACAACATTTTGTATATACAGTATTTTCCTTATAGGAAACTGACATTGTTAGTTGTAAGGTTTTCCCCCAAATTCCTTCCCATTTTTCAAGTTCAATCGAATATCCCAAATTTCTCCCCCAGGCAATCATTGAGTCCTTGATAACTTCCACTCCAATCCAATCCATTAAGAGGAATTGATACAGTTTGGATAATACCTTCTCATCCTTCCCCAACAAGATCTTATCAAGTTCTTGTAGGGAATTATAAATTCCTCCCTTATTTTTGTCCTGAGCTGTCCTGGATTGGATCTGATTGTATATCCACCAATCTAACTCATAGCCTAATTCCACCAGCGTATTTCGAGATTTTATTTTGCCTAAAGGATCCAACAGAACTTGGTAAATTAATGGTTTATTTCTGTTATAAAGGGTCGGGTGTATCATCGCCTCTAGAGGGGAAAGCCAAATTATTGAAGTATTATTTGAGAACATAGAAGCAAATTAGAAATGATAGGAAGAAATCAAAAAGCCCTACTAAGCAGGTATATACAAAAGTATGAAGGCTATTGCTTAATGCATTGTAAGCCGCCCTGAGTCTCTGGAGAAGGGCGGCATATAAATTGAACTAATAAATAAATAAATAAATAAATAAATAAATAAATAAATAAATAAAATATTTTTTTTCTTCTCATCTAAAATAAGGATGGGGGGGTTTACTCCTGGAATCTCAACAATAAAGTAAATTATATTTACTCTCTTCTTATCCCTACCTTAAAATTTATTTAACAGTTTGATAATAAACAAGATTTTTCTTTTTTTTAAAAAAGATCTGTGTTCATTGGTGGTATTATTCCCCAAGGGCAGAGATTAACAGAATGTTCTTTCATTACTTCTAGCTTGGACATTGGGACTAAAAATAATCTCCTGTGTATAGTGATTGCAAACACAATCCATATATCAAGCCATGTTTATTTTTGGATGGACTAATGAGTGATAATGAGAAACACTAAAGTACTTGACTTTGAAAATCATGAACTAAAGTAAATCATAGTAACTATATCAAAAACAACATGGAAAACATAGATGATTTACCTTAATCAAGTCAATCTTATGCTTCTGGGAAGTTTACAAGCAAGCCAGAGTTAACTTTTTACTGTGTCTATCTGCAATCCGCAATACAATTTATTCAGAAAGTTAATAAACGTGAAGGCTTCTTTTGCTGTGTTGGAGTGTTTATGGAAAGTGTCAGAAAAATTCACTTCAGGTCTTCAACTAAAATTGTCATGACTAGTCCATGGGTATCCTATACTAAATCCAACAGTGAAAAAGATGAAATATGTGATGTGATACCACAGTGTTACTGAAGCGATTTGTGCTTACAAGTAAGTAAGGGATTTTCAGAGCCATGATGGCGCAGTGGTTAGAATGAAGTACTGCAGGCTACTTCTGCTGACTGCAGGCTGCCAGCAGTTTGGCAGTTCAAATCTTACTGACTCTAGGTTGACTCAGCCTTCCATTCTTCCAAGGTCGGTAAAATGAGGAAGATTGTTGGGGCAATATGCTGACTCTGTAAACCACT